TTTAATTTCTATTTTATCAATTTCAGCCTTGACTTTTATCATCTCTTCTTATCTCCTCTTTCTGTGTGTTGTTTGTTCTTGTTTTCCTTAGGCCTCCATGTACAGCATTAAATTATTAATATAAGATCTTTCTGTTTTTTATATAGATAATTAGTATTATAAATATTATTTTTAAGACGCTTTCAAGTGTCCCTTAGATTTTGGTATGTTGTGCTTTCTTTTTCTTTCAATTCTAGGAATGTCTAAAGTTCCCTTCATTATTCTTCTCTTGATTCAATCTTCAATAATAACTGTATTACTTTGTTTCCAAGATTTTGTGTACTTTTTAACATGTCTACCAATGATATTCACTTTTATTCCTTTGTGGTTCAAAGAGTATGGACAGTGCTATTTTAATTTTCCTAAATTTCTTAGAACTGGGTTTGTGGCCAGGCTTGGTGGCACACACCTACCCCAGCACTTGGGAGGCATAGGCAGGTAGAGTCTGTGAGTTCATTCAAGCGCTTGTGTTTTCATGGCCCTCCTTCAGTCATTTGTTCACATCTTCTCCAGTTCCTTGAACATATAACAGCTGTTCTGAAGGTAGTCCATCAGTTTTGGGTCACACTTCTTGTGTCAAGCAAAGCAGTGTGTGAGATGGCTATGAGACAGGTGGGTGGGGAAATTAGTTTGGAGATCTATCTGGAGTTCAGGGTCAGGTTCTACATAATGCCTGTACTGAGCAGAATGGTAGGTTGGGTATCTGATAGACTGGCAGGCAGGGGACCATTTTTCATATTTTTAAATAACAACTGTAAACAATAACTTTATTTTTCCTTTTCTTTTTTATTTAAATTAGAAACAATCTTAATTTAACATTTCAATCCCAGTTCCCTCTCCTTCCCATCCTCCCCATCCCATCCCTCTTCTGCTCCCCAGGGAGGATGAGGCCTTCCATGGGGGAATCATCAAAGTCTGTCATATCATTTTGTAATAAAATTGTAACAGTGCATTGTATAATACATGATGGCACTGCCGGTAAATTGTCTAACACCCAAGGAAAGCCCGAATTCATTAATGTCCCATCTTAAGAGTTTATCCTCTGGCATTCTCAGAATTAATTTGAAGGCACTCCCATCTACCAGCTATACCAAAGGAAGGGATGTTAAAGACTTTAATGATCACTTACTAAATCTTCATTTCACCATGCGACATTTATCTGAACATAACGCTTCTCCACCTCCCCGTGTCTGCTTACAAACATGAGACCAATGATGTGTTTCTCAGATTTCTACAGTCTCCAGCTGGTCCAATGTTAATTCCAGTGGCTGGCCTACTCCTACAAAACTGATCCTTTCCCAAAATGGAAATGAATCTGCCTATAGCACATGTCCCGATACATTGTTTACTGTCTCCGCTGTTGAAAGAGTAATGGAGCTCTATTTTAAACTGATGTCACTATATGTAGCCACCATGTCATTTCTCGTTGCCACCTCTATGTCTTTCCTTTCCTCACTCAGAGCCGCCACCCCTATGTCACCTGTCCGAACTTTCCTATCCTTCGGGTTTGACCAAACTCTGGCATCACCATTTACTTCTCTCCACCATGCGCATATTTTGGCTTCACTTTAGAACCCACATTCACATTTACAAGATGCCCTTAAGGAAGCAAAAATGCCCAGTATAATCTGCTGTGGTTTCTACCTATCGCTATTTTCTAGTGTCTTTTATGTAATGAATTGGAGGAAATGGGCAATCCATGCACACGATTAGGCCTTTAAAAGTGTACCCTTTGTTCCCAAGGTCCTGTTAATTACCTCTTAGGAGCATTTTATTTGCAATGTACTCAATTACTAAGGTAACTAAATAGCTTTTACTGATCAGAGCTAGCATCATTTGCTTAATAGCTACTAGCAAATGTTATAGCACAATTCCGTGGCTACTGCATTACCAAAAATAGGCTTATTTAAGATTAAGCTCCAGGGAAAAAATAGATTTTACCAGAATACACTATAATTGTTCATATAACCACTTAGATCTACAGAAACATCAACATTTTTCCATTATTTTTCAATTAGGAAAAAATAAACCAACAGAGAATATCCAAGTAAGTCCACCGCCCATTCAACTCATTCAGCACACCCATCCTTCTCAGGAGAAGCTCCTTTTGGCTCCTCTTTGATTGGTCACTGCCCACAATTCTCAGACTTTTCATAAGCCTGCCCTAATCAACAGCAACTATTCTCATAGAGGCATGTTGTCTGAATGGGTAAAACCACTTGCTGAGCAAGCAAGAGGACCTGAGTTTGCACCACTGAATCCATGTAAACACCTAGATTTGGCTATGTAACCCAACTGTGAGGAATAGAGGGAATAGAGGACGAGGATTCTTGAGGCTAGCTGGCTGGCTTTTCTAGCTGAAAAATGGCAAGCTTAGTTCATTCAGTCAGAAACCTTTCTCAAGGAAACAAAGTAGAGAGTGGTTAAGGAGGATACCTGATAGCCTCCTCTGGCTTCTATGGGCACACACGTGCACAGTCACCACACATTCATATACCACACACACACACACACACACACACACACACACACACACACACACACACACACGGAGGGAGGGAAGGAGGGAGGGAGGGAGGGAGGGAGGGAGGGAAAAGGGAAGGAAAGGGGCAAGGGGTGAGGGAGGGAGGGTGGGAAAGAGGGAAGGAGGGAGGGAGAGAGGGAGGAAGGAAGGAAGGAAGGAAGGGAGAGGAAATAGAAATAAAGCTGTAAGAGACATCCTTTTTCTTTTCTTTCCTCACAGCTCAGAATTGCCAAAGGGTTTCTTTTCTCCCACATTGCAACAATTCTCTGGTAGTGCCTGAATACTTGTCTTTGATACTTCTTATTGTTGTTACCTACAGAGAAATAAAATGGCAGACAGAGAGACAGGCATGATACTTGGAGGCTAGTAGTTTTGCCCGCAGGAGTGAGGCTAACTAAGGCCTTCATCCCTCTACCTCCTGATTTTAAGACCTTTGTGAGCTTCCTGTAAGGGACACACCACCAGAGAGAGGTATCTAATCACATGTGACACACTCCAAAGGATAGTATCCTGTCCTTTCAGGGCACTGTCTTTATTCTATACTTCAGCGGTGGCTTCAGGAGTCCATCCCAGGACGCTTCGAGAACAGCTGCTTCTCTGCTCTGAGAGCTCGGTCATATGCTCCCTGCACTATGAGAGCAAGCCACTAATCACTTCTCCCACCTGAAAGTTCAGGTGGGTGGTGAGTGGTGCTGACCATCTCAGGGGCCAGAGAAGGTGAGGGTCAGAGAAAGCATGCACAGCCCGTGGGAGGCTATAGCATTGAGAGAAGAGGCAGCTGCTCTTCCAGGCCACAAAGTACCCAATAGCAACTTGATGCAGAGTAACTACTTGTTCTCAAATTCCATCTTCCCCATCAGAAAGGCTATCGTCAACAAAACAGTGAAAGTATAACTAAATAAAATAAAATGGGAAGCAAAAGTAAAATGGAGAACAAACGCTGTATCTGGGCAAAGCCTCTTGCAAACGCCTTATTGAGTTATTGAACAAAAGCCCCAGAGACAGAGGTGGGATTTGATTGGTCAGGGAGGCCCCAGAAGTTCCCTAAACAATAAAGGCTGTTGCCTTTCCTTAAAAAAAGTATGTGTGTGTTTTAAGTGTTTTGTCTTCATGTATGTATACCATATGTGTGCCAGGTGCCCACAGAGTCCAAAGGAGGGTCCCCTGCCCTCTGGAACTAGATTACAAACAGCTAGGAGCCAGCCTATCTTGGGTGTGTAGGTGCTGGGAACCAAGACTGGGTCCGCTGAAAGAGAAGCAAGTACTACTAAAAGCTGAGCCATCAATCCATTTCCTAGCATCTACTTTTGGTTCCCCACCAGAACTAGATGACAAGACCTAATGCTAAAGACACCACTTACCTCACCTGTGTAGTACAGAGAAAACAAGTGAAACTGAGCAACCATTTTCCTCCTTCCCAGCTGCTTGATTTTATAGTCCCAGAAGGTGCTATGCAGGCTTCTGGGAGTGGAAATGCTATCAGTTGCCCTACCCAGGTGTTAATCCTATCAGGTATGAGAACAATCTACCATATAAGATAGGCCCACTTCTGCAATAGTGGAATGGGAATAACAAATTGTTTTCTGATTGGATTTGCGGTACTGGAAACCCAGTGGTGGTCAGGGACAACTCTCCCACTCTTGCAACCACCTGTCTCAGGCATGCATGAGCAGGGAGGGGGCACAAGCTATTATTAAAGAGCTATTTCTTAACTAACCTCCAAATGTGTGGAATGATTTATCACTAAGAAGGTGTATTAATTCTACAGTGCTACCGCGATACATGGCTGCTGAGAGGGAGAAAAATAAGTTTTCTCTAGGGATAAGGCCTCTGTTAGGTTACCAAGTCTATGCATATGTACCCAAACAACACTAAATGTGTTCAGACTAGTTTGTGTGTGTGCTTGTACAACAATAAGAATTAAGAAGAGGTCATGAATTTAGCAGGCAGGGAACATGAAGAGAGTTGGAGAGGGAAGAGGGAATAAATTATATAAATACAATATTCATGTACTCACTTCCCAAATAAAGTTTAAATTAAAAGTAAGTATTCTATGAGACAAACCAAGATTCAAAACTTCCGATAGTCTGTCTTCACCCATGTTAGACAGGCAATAAGATGATGGTCCATCCTGTGAAAGACAGAGGTCAATTCCATAAGCATTTGCTGTCTTCAGTTTTGTCTTCTTTTGAGCCTTCTCACAGTTCTTTCACTAGTGTGGAAGCCCCTCTCCTGGGACTATTGATTCCTCGTCAGTTGTAGCTGAAATCCTTTCTAGGTGAAAACAAACTCTGGTATTTAAAGACAAGGCACTCCTGCTTCCCTTTTCCTCTGTAGCCATCTGCTACGCTAAGAGAAATAAAACCACCCCAGGAATTTGTTTTCACTGCAGTGTATGCACACGTTTTGGAGAGACTGAAGCATGTGTTTTTGTCAGACTCCTTCACAGGACTGATCAATATCCTGACAGACATCATTTGGCGATTCACTGGAGACTTCATGGCCCCCGACCTGGTCTGCAGAGTCGTCCGTTATTTGCAGGTATGGAAATCAGCTTTACAGAAGTACACCAGCACATCTGGAAAACATTGCCCTCTTAGAGTCCACTTGTTAGGGATTTTAGGATATGTGTATATATATTCAGAAGTAAGATTATGGTTTCATTCTTTTTATTACATCTGGGTCTTGGTAACATTTGTTTCATTGTCGGGAAACCAATAAGAATAGTTGTGATGTTAGTATTCTTTGTGCTCTGAATATAACTTTAAGAAGAGTCATTGCAGAAGGGTGGTATTTTGCAAGAGTGAATTTGCTACATATCATTTGAACACGCCCAGGGTACAGTCATTAATATGCAATACTTACATGAAAAATGTCTTCTACTCTCTTGTTGAGAATATTTTTGTGAAAAGAGCTGATTTTAATTATTATACTATAATAGTAATTGATTGATGAAATGCAAATTATAATCAGACTTAGTTACTTAAAACAATATGTATTATTTATTTTTTTCATGGTTTCCAATAGTAGAAAATTCAGGGATAGGTTGGTTGGCCTAAATAAATGCTAACCACAAGGATTCATCACATGATTCATGGCACTGGGCCTTTGTAGGGCATATCTGGGACCAGACAATTCACTTCAGAGGTGATCACTCATGCAACTGTTGGGTAATGTGTGGTCTGAGCAGAATGCTCACTTTCTTTCCAATGGGTCTCCCCATGGGTGCTCAATAGTATCCTCACAATTCAACAGCCTGATTTCCCAAGAACAATTTGTCCTTGTGATCAAGGTAGACATACCAATGTACTTCATGAAATAGTCACAATACTTATACACTATGGCCTCTGCATTTTTTCTTTTGGGCACACAAGTCAACTCTGATTTGTTATGGGGAAGAAGGAAACCACTACAGATAATGAAAGCAGGAGAAAAAGTTTATTGGGGACCTGCTGGAGGTGGGCCACTGGATCATGCTTTCCAAAAGTGCATTTATAATCCATGCTGTTTTCCATACTTACCAACTTTAAACTGTGACCAATAAACACCCATATCAGAAACACTTCTTCCAATTATATTTATAGTAAATACTAAAATAATAGTATATAAGATTCATCTTGGCAGGAAAACTCCAAAGATTCTCTCCTATGATGGCAACAAGAAAATGTTGGAAAGCAGCTGGAATGAAGTTTTGTAGGGTTCTGAAGATTGAACAAAAGTTTGCAAAAACCAAGAAGCACTGATGAGACGAGCTGACTGGAGTTAAAGGGAGCTTTGTGGTATTCTAGCCTTCAGTATTCCTATCCCACAGCATCTGTCTCTGTGGTAACCTTGAAAATTAATAGCTTTCTTTTACAGGAAAATAAAAATTCTGCCAGCCATAGAGAGAGTAGATCATGGATAGAGACTCACAAAGCCTTTTCCCAGAGAGTTACTATTATTCCAAGTGTCTGGCAGTCATTCAGAGAACTGGGCTTGCAAGGCTCACTCAGAACTTTTCCGTTGTAAAACCTCTGGGTCTTTGTCAAAAATAATGACTGTTGAGGAAAACAATAAATGAAAAAAATTGTAAAACATAAGCTGAGTAGCAATGCACTTATAGGCACCTTAAGAATCCCTGACTCATTCCTAAGACCCTAGAAGACAGGTGCGTACCTTGGAATGTACGGGGATGGCCAAAAGCTATTGCTCTTGACTGAGATATCAGACATAGTCCAACATCTTTTCATGATTAAAAATGTTCAATAGATTGGGACTAGGAAGAAAGAAGCTCAACACAAGTAATGTTGTGTGTGGCAGGGCCACAGCTAACACCACACTCAACAAAGATGATGGTGCAATGCTCCTTCTCTAAGATCAGCAACAGACAGGATTCTACCCAACTGGAAAGGCTGCAACAGAAAGATATAAACACTTCCAAATTAGAAATGTAGAAGCAAAAATGCCTCTAAGAAACCTGACAGAAAGATACAATTAATAAATAAAGCCAAAAATTGGTAGAATATAAAATCAAAACACATAAATATGGAACATATCCACATACAAAACTATTCAGAAAAGAAATTATGAAAACCACTTTATTTATAATAACTACAAAAATATAATAGAACACTGAGGAATATATTTGAATAGATATCTATCATTTCTACAAACTAGAAATTATAAGTCTCCAATTAAATAAGTTAAAGGAAACTAAATTAAGACACAAGTAAATGGAAAGAAGTTAACATCCATGGATCAAAAAAATGTTTTTTTGTAAAACTGTCTAAATAATCTACATATGAAATGTAATCTAAATAGAATTTCAACCACATTTCTTATGTTAAATAGAAACCACAAGTACAATACATATAGAATTACAAACACCACAAATAGAAGAATCAACATTGAACAAGGAGATAAAAGCTGCTTTTATCATTTGTCACACTGCTTGATTTGAGAAATACATGATAATGTTACCTACTATTAGTGGGTTAGTGTTATTCTGTGTCTTTAATCCCAATACTGAACTTTTATTAAATTGGGTGCCCCAGAGTTCATATATATATCCATTATATGGATCGCAGTGTCTTAGATAACTGTCCCTTTGATTAGAATAAACGGGCCATCTGTATTTCTCTGGTTACTTTTAGTTTGAAGTCTATTTTGTTAGATATTAGAATAGCAACATCTGCCTGCATCCCAGACCCATTAGTCCCACTTTCCTTGAAAGAGTTTTTTTTTTTTTTGGTTTTATGAGACAGGGTTTGTCTGTATTGTTTTGTAGGCTGTCGGTCCAGCCCAGCCTCGAACTCACAGAGATCCGCCTGCCTCTGCCTCCCAAGTGCTGGGTGCTGGGATTAAAGGCATGTGCCACCACTGCCCGGCTACTTGGAACACTTTTTAAAATACCCTTTCACTTTCAGGTGGTACCTATCTTTCAAGTTAAGATGAGTTTCTTGTGCACAATATGAAGACAGATTTTGTTTCTCAACATGTTCAACTAGCTTGTTTTAAGACTGAAGAGTTGAAGACATTAATATTAGTGAAAAGTGTTGATGACAGACATTTTGTTTTGTGTCTTTGGCTATACTTAATGTTTCTGTAGTCATGGCTCTATTTGTTTTCTTTCTGAAGTCTCATCACTTTAATCTTTTTTTTAGTCTGAATTGTTCAAGAAATTAGGAATAGGAAGAAAGTAACTCAATACTATTTCTTCTTTTTTAATATTTGAGAACAATATTTATTTATGAATGAAGACCCTGCAAACCACCAAAGCTTCTTAGATACAGCACCCACAATCTTACCTGTGAAGCACTCACAATATATGTTAAGAGTATTAGAGGCAGGGAGAAGTATGTCCACACTTAGTCTGATCACTTTTATGTCACATAAGCCGCCATCAGCTGCCAGGGAAAAATGCTTTTAAAATTCTGTTAAGCTCTCTCTTTCTAATTCCAGCTATTTTCTGTGACCCTTCTAAAAATTCTTCCCTCATATATTATATCCCAACCAGTTTCCTCTCTCTCCCCTCCCCCAGTTCTTCTCCTCTACCTTCCCTCTCCTCCAGATCCACGCCACCCTCTGCCTACCCTCTAAAAAGAACAGTCATCCCAGGGACACCAATGAAACCTGGCATCACAAGTTACTATAACACCAGGCACATACCATCACATCAAGGCTGGACAAGGTAACCATGTAGGAGGCAAGTAGGTGAAATAATCAGAGACAGTCCCCACCCTCCAGCTCCTTCTGTTAGGAATTCCACAAGAACACCAAGCTACTCAGCCATAAAGTATATGCAGAGGACCTACATGAGACCCTTATAGGCTCCCTGATCTCTGTGAACCCCCATAAGTCTCCTCAGTTGATTCTGTGGGCCATGTTCTTATGGTGTCCATGATCCCTCTGGTTCCTCAGACCCTTCCTCCCCCTCCTGAAGGACTCCCTTATGTTTGGCTGTGGGACTTAGGATCTGCCCCCATCATTTGCTGGTATCTCTGGTCTACTTGATTCTACTGAGCTCTGGTACCAGAATACTCTGCAGGCAGGACAAACTTCAGTTCAAGGCCTTGCCTGGTTACAGAAAATGGCTGGTTCAGGCTCTATTGTCCCCCATTTTGGTTACTGAGTTTTTGAGTTACATCTTCATTTCCATTTGAGTTCTCTTTGGTATTTCTATCTCTTTATTGAACTCAGTTGTCTAATTCTGGATTTTCTTCATCAGTTCGTTCATCTATACATTTGTATTTTCTTGAGTATCCCTTGGGCATTTACTACTATTTTATTTAAGTTTTGAACTATTTGTGTCTTCTTTTAATTCCTTGTATTATCAGATGAAGTTTATGCTTGTTCTTTATAGTTTTTCATCCTCTAATTTCTCATTGAAGAAAATTTCCAAGGAATGATGGATTTGAGGGAAATATACTATCTTGAACTTTTTCATTGCTTGTGTTTTTGTGATGAGACCTGGACATGCAGACTTCTTTCTTTGTTTATATGTCTGATCACAGATTTTAAACTTGCATACAGGCACATGGAAAAATGTCATGCATCATGGTAAAGTTAGCTTTATTTCAGAGATTTGGGGATGGTTCAATGTACATAAGTCAAAAAATTTGATAAATTGTATAATGGACTTAAAGACAAAAAAACCTCATGATCAGCTCAATAGATGCAGAAAAAGCTTTTAACAAAATACCCACATACCTTCATGATAAAAGTCATCAATAGAGTAGGGCTAGGTAAATATAGCTCAACATAATAAGGACTGTATAGGACAAACCCACAGCCAACATCATCTTAATGAAGAAAACCCCAAAGCAATGCCATTAAAATCAATAATGAGACATGGCTGTCCACTAGTCCACCCATCACTGCTCATTTTCAACATGGTGCTTGAAGCACTAGGTAAAACAATAAGAAAAGAGAAGTAAATTAAATGGATAAAATTAGGAAAAGAACTATTTAAATTATCCTTTCATTTAAGTGATATGTTAAACACAAAGATACCAAAATTTTCATCAGAAAACTTTTAGAAGCTATCAACAAGTTCATCAAAA